ATTTGGCCACTTTGGTTTCAGGGTCCTGCAACCATGGAACTCCCATGACGTACAAGGCATGTAAACCTATATTAATAAATAATAAACAACCGAATGATTAATCATTCAAGCTATTTGCTACTCAGATTTGGCCAGTGGGATCCGTCCTTGAAAATCAGAATTACAATAAGTAAAAACAGAATAATAAAATGATACAAGTACAGTACATACAGTACGCAACAGATATATAATATCACGTGAATATTACGTAAAGGGTTTAGGTTTGAAATGTTTAAGGTAAAGGTTACTTTTGTCTACAGAAAAAATAGTCTTGAAGAAGGGAAATTACTGCATCAGGACCAGAGCTCACCATGAAAACACATGAAATAAGAACACATTTATACAGAGATAAATAAAACAACTAGCCATTAATCACATGCTAGTCTCCTGATGAAGAACTACACAAATTCGAATCATTCATCTCAAGAACATACACACTTTACTAGGATGGGTTAAATGCAGAGAACACATTTCACTGTGTGTTCTGTGTGTTCTGTGTGTTCTGCATTTAAAGAGGGTTTCATCCCTCCCAATATTATTATTATTATTAGTACATAAATAAACACAACCAATCATGTGACACTTCACATGGTAACAAGCCTCCGTGAGTTGCCAATTTATCAGTGTTTAACAATCGTGCTGATAAAAGGGGACCCAGTGCCGACTTCCATAATTCAGTAGCACAAACTCAGAGTTCAACACATGAGAGGGCTCAAATACAATCCTTTTGGCCTGCTGGGTTCTAAACAAATCCAAATAGTCTTGGGCTCTGGATGTCCACATAATCTTCCCTGCCAGACTGAATATATGAGCAAGAGATTAACTGGTTCCAAACCAATTGGTAATGTTTGGATCTATTTTTTCCTTAACCATTGAAATGTTTGTCGAATTAAATAATATGTTTTTGACCACCGAAGGAAAACAGAGTGAACAATTCTTTATAAAGTGCTGCAATAATGACCTCATGTAAACAATTTGAGTGACTCAGAGGATTACAAAGGCTCTTTTCATTTGGTTTGTAACTGCCATGCTGCTGCTCTGTTTCAGCTTGTCAACAGCAGTGCCAAGTCCCCACTTGGGAATTGCCCAAGTCAGCCTTGTTACCTTTGCTAAATTTGGTGCAAGATGTAACAAGAGAAAAATGTTCCATCAATCATGTTGCAGATGCAGACAGAGAAGAGTGGGGGGGTTCAGAGGCAGTGAAATAAACCAGTGGAAGCTCAGAAAACATCCATTTCCTGGGTGAGATGATGGGAAAACTTTGCCGTACTCTCTGGGGATATCATTTGTGAACACAACGTCGTCCTCCAGAGCCCAAAGTTTTAGAGCGGAACCCAGACGCTTGGTCGGGGTGTTGTGAGCATTTCTAAAGTGAAATCCTCCTTTGCCTCTGTTGCCTTCTCCATCAGATAAAGTCTGACTGCCGAGGCTTAAGTGTGTCAATGAACTGGGGGGAGGATCAATGATAAGTGCAGCTTACCTCCTCAACTGCTCCGCACCAGCCAAATAGAGATTAAACCATTTCAGCCTAATAGCACATGTCAGTCAAAAGTCACACTTGGATACTTCTCCCCGGCCCCCACTTTGCCACCTCCCCTTTTTTAATTACAAGAGCTGAAAAGAGGCTGCCATTTAAAAATAAATGCACTATTAGAGTCACTATCATAATTAAATAAAATAATTGTTAAGACCCCTGTGTGCTGCTGTGCTGCTCAAAGCGTAAACTGAGGTCTGCCATTTCTCTTAATCCTCAACTACGGCTGCTTTCACACCTGTTCATTTGGTACGGACCAAGGGATGAAAAGATATATTAGTGTCTGTAAGTTCTGGTCCAGCTCCCTCTTATACTGACTTTTCACAATCGAATCAGATGAGTAAACATGAACTAGTACAAACTGATATGTGACTCGTTTAGTTTTCAGTTTTGCATGTATGATCTTTGTTATCAGGAACCAAAATCAATTTTAGTGAAGGGCCAAGGTTATACATCACTTTAACGATTAAGATGTGTATAATATTGTTTTTTAGTTTCGCAAAGATCGCACAAAATAATATTATCAATATTATTAGACTGCATCACGTTTTTTGTAATTGGTTAATGGTTTTCTCCATGTTTGTTGAATTCAGTGTACAGTACATCTTCCACCGCCAAATTTCTAAGCGATCAAAAAAATATTCTAAATTCATTTTCAGTACTGCGCCTTAGAAAATTCCCTTTATTAAATTCTTGTTTTTGTATAGTCTGCTTTAATTTGTGCAGTGTGAGACCGAACCACACTTAATAGAAAAGCTACAATAAGTATAAATTTGACTCTGATTCGGACTACCCGAGCGGGCTATGGCTTGTTAAAGCGCACTTTGAAGGTAACCATCTGCAAAGCATTCAAAAACTCTCCCAATTCAAACCTGTGCACACACAGCCAGATCAAAAGCCTCGAGGGCTTTTATTGTGGAAAATACAGCTGTCCTTCTAAACACCGAGCTTTTGTAAATGGTACTCATTTCTTGCTCTAATCACTGTTGTTGATATTGCTAAATTGCCACTGTTCCAGGGAATTACTGGACTGATCCCTACAACCGTGACTTTGATTTGTTGTTCAAGCATCTCAGATGTGTACACCCTGTGGTATGTAAATGAGAGTGTCTGTTGTTCCGCAAACGTCCCTTATTTAAACATCACAGCACTCATTAGGTGGATCAAGCTGATATCAAAGTCAGAGCACAGATGTTGGCGTTTTGGAGAATGCTGGGACTGTCGCAGTGTCTCTTTTGATGATATGTCTGCCGTCTATTCAGCTCCATTGTCATTTCTCCAGCGCCTCGTCAGTTGACCTCTCCTGCCATTTGATTGCTTCTGGCTTTTATACTTTCATCACTGTCCTTTCTATTTGATGTTCGGACCAAATGAATTCAATACATGACTTTTCTCTGTGATTAGATGTATTATGCCGTGTTGTAAATGTGAAAAATGTATCTGAAAAAGCTTTACTCTGATGATAGGCTAGATGTTGGCATGTGTGGCAGGGCTCATAACACTGAAGTTAATTCATCATATCATTCTCAAAAGTATATTTTCCCTAAAGCCAGAATAAACCAAGCACATTTTGAGACTGTTCTTTCTAGTTTAAGCCTTTTCACAAAACACTTGGATAATAGTAATGTAATCTGATTTGTGAGTACATTTTGAGCATTAGGTTATGCCTCTGACGGGGTTCTTTGTAGGTTTATGCCCTCATGTAATTGGCCGCTCACTAAATGCCGAACAAGTCCATTTTAGTCGACCTAAAGGTTACAACTTGCTTTTATAACCTTAATACTAACTATTAAACGGTTAAAGTGCCAAAATACAGAAAACACACTGGAGCTGGTTTCTCCAAAATGACCTACCCCACCTTTAAGTAAAAATGATTAGCACAATCAACAAATTGTAATTAAAGCAAATAACACAAAAATATCCAATGCAGAATATCCAAAATAAATTAAAACTCAAAATGATTTAAAATAAACTATTCGATAATTTGGTTTGTTTTGTTTATGGCTAGCTGCCATCCATGGAGGACCTATACTCCCAGCAGCTCAGGAAGAAATCCCTCCGGATTATAAAAGACCCCCATCACCCCAGCCACAAACTGTTCAGTCTGCTGCCGTCTGGCAGGCGTTACCGCAGCATCCGGACTAAAACCACCAGATTCAGAGACAGTTTCATCCCACAGGCCAGAAGACTGTTAAACACCTGAACTGTTGAAACAACATCCATAACATTCATCTGCTACTTAGTCATTATTTATCTATGTATCTAATATATCATTCCAATAGCTTGCATATAGACTCTTATTTTACTATTTCACTTTTTTTAAACAATTTTTCTTTTTGTATTTACTTTTTAATATTTACTTGCACTATATTTTTCTGTTTTTCTGTTTTATTGTGTTGCACTTTTGGAGAAGCCTGTGATCTAAGATGTTCATCGACATAACTACTCTGTAGCTATGTTCGTATGACAAATAAAGAACCTTGACCTTGACCTTGACAACCTCACAATGAAGCCAAGCTGCTTTGTTGTCTATTTTACAAAATAATTTACAATAATTTACAATATTGAACGTTTAGTCATTTTTCCCCACTTTTTAGAGAAGGCCTAATAATAATACAATACTCCAAACACCTTTATAGCTCATAATATGTCGATGTGTTTTAAAGTGAGTTTTTACTGCCCCCAGCTGGCCAGAAAGATCAGTTGATGCTGATTTGATGCTCAGTGTTAGAGGGATCCTGAAACAATTGTGTTTAAATGTACGTTATAATGTCATCAATTCTTAATAAGGATCTAAAAAATATTAACTATTAGTTTTCTGTTTATTTATATATTTAACTCAGTCAATTTAGGATTGATGGCATGCTCCCTCCCCCCTGTGTTTTAGATTTTAGTTGTGGATCTAAAGTATCCTTTTGTTCCCATTTATAAACTCACAGGAGATAGCGGATAAATGATCTGTAAGATGTGCATGTTCTGCAGTGCAGCAGTTTAGATGAGGAGCATAAACAAAGATGATGATGTTCTCCCCACAGAGACAGCTCCTCTGATGGGGGGTGACGTGAGGCCTTTCTCTTATTATCTTTTGTTTTCTTTTGAAGGAAGATTAAAGAATCTCTTATGTCATTTGATATTTCAGTGGGATAGCAGTACAATTGAGCAGCAGTGTGCGGGGTATGTGTGGTGGGTGTTTGGAATTCATTCAAAGACAGCTTATCAAAGTCCATGAGGGACCGAGCCGGCAGACTGCAACCAGAGGTTTGTTGGTAATATTGAGTAATTTGCTCAAGCAGACACTCGCATATATATATTTGTTTTTCTTCCACATCGGGGCCTTCATTGCAATTCGTCATAGGTTGATCTTGTCAGCATGTGGACTTTGTCATGTTTAAGGTGATGTTCATGTTGGAAATCTATTCTCTTCCAGGTGTACACCAGATATGGGAAATGCTACACTTTTAATGGCAACAGGACGACATCCAGGAAAAGCAAGCAGGGTGGAATGGGAAATGGGTTGGAGATCATGTTGGATATCCAGCAGGATGAGTATCTGCCCATCTGGAGAGAAACAAGTAAGCCACAAAACTATTTGTCCAGTGTAATCCCATCATATGCTACGGTATGAGATAGCTCTGCTGGGCTTTAAAATAACCTGCATTCAATTTCCCGGGTCACGCACCGTAAATAATGCATTTTTTGATTGCATTTCTGCAACCTGGAAAATGTGATTTGTAAGAGGAAGTTCCTGAACACAATACACTACATCAGATTTGTGTTTGCATAGTTGTCACATGATAGTAATCCCTACCGTCCTGCATTTTCAAATATGGTTTGCTGTTAGTGTCAAATTGAGTCCAAGCTGTCAGATGAGGCCGCCGTCTGAATGCTCCGTGCTCCCGTTTGTTTCATCCTAAAGACGAGACGTCCCTGGAGGCCGGCATCCGGGTCCAGATCCACAGTCAGGACGAGCCCCCCTACATCCACCAGCTGGGCTTTGGCGTCTCTCCGGGCTTCCAGACCTTTGTTTCATGTCAGGAGCAGAGGGTAGGTCGTCTTCATCACAGCCCCCCGCTTCCCTCCCCCCACAAAATTACTCCTTATGCAACCATTGGCCCCTGGTCATTCAGTTCGGGGTCTAATAAATCTCTGTGCTTAGCTGACCTACCTGCCCCAACCCTGGGGGAACTGCCGCTCCACCAGCAAAGAGAAGTTCCCGGGATACGACACGTACAGCATCAGCGCCTGCCGCCTGCTCTGCGAGACCAACGAGGTGCTGAGCGTGTGCGGCTGCAGGATGGTGCACATGCCCGGTAAGACCCCCAACCTCACATCTACACAGAGCCCAGCAGCTAGCATGTGGATAAAATCATTATATGTGCACAAAAATCACTAATGCACACATTCATGCTGTCATATTAATGTGAAGTTATCAGTGGTAGAAGAAGTATTAAGATAATTTACTTAAGTCAAAGTACTTTATGCACTGTAGTAATACTGTGTTACAAGTAAAACGCCTGCATTGGAAATGTTACTTAAGTAAAAATTATTAGCACAATCAACTAATTGTAATTAAAGCAAATAACACAAAAGTATCCAATGCAGAATATCCAAAATAAATAAAAAAAACTCAAAATTATTTAAAATAAACTATTAAATAATTTGGTTTGTTTTGGTTATGGATGTGAATTAATTATCTTGATTAATCAACTAATAATACTTGAACAATTAAATATTTTATAAACCCTTGTGTTGTTTATGCAATTATTTTGTATTCTTAAAATAACTTAATAATAGTGTAAAATAAACATACCAAAGTAAGAATTAGAATAGTTACCATTTGAATTGTTGTATACTCAAGTGAAGTATAAGTACCTCGAAGTTACACTTAAGTACAATACTGGATTTAATGTACTTAGCGACATAAGTTGGTATTGTTACAACAGTGACTGAGAATTAAAAAGAAACTGATAACTGAACAAAGAACAAAATGTTTGTAACTGAAAAACACACCCACACTAATATTCTTCATGTTCTGTGGTATTATATGTTTCAAATTCAATGTCATCACACGGCATATACAGTAAGAAGTGACTCATTGGGAAAGTATAAAACCCTGAAAGGAATGAGTGTTTTCAAGTATTACCCTCTGTTTTTAAAATTGCTTGGTCTAGCATGATTAGATAACAGCCAGCCCAGTTTAGCACACTTGACTAATTCCAGCACAGACATAATTTGGGCTGCCACATGCCTGACCTCGGTGCTTGATATCTGGAGTGGAATGCTCTTCAGCAGCCGCTCTCTGGACAGTAACTCTTCAGACTACAGGATACTCTCCATGACTTTTGCATCCATTTGTTCATACATCTCAGCTGTTAGGGGAGTGTTCTCCTGTGGCACTCATTCATTAGTTTGATTGATTATTTTCTATCATTCCTGGTTGGTTCTCGTCTTAAGGTCCCGCTGGTAAGAAGGTTTGCAAACAGCTTTGAAAACCCCTGCCTTTGAATGGGATTAATTTAGCATTGATTTACACAATGAGAGATTGCCTCTCCTGATTACGAAGATGTGGCACAGAAGTAATGTTTCATGATTCACACGGTGTGTTTTCCTATTTTGGCTATCATTACGAGGACACACTTAGAAAAAGAACACATTTTCTACGCGCCCTCCTCTGTCCTCTTCTATGTAGAATTATAAAAAGTAACCCTTATGACAATAAAACATTAGAACACAAGATATAAGATTGCATATATTGACAATCTCCTTTAAATCCAGATTGAAATACGCCCAGAAAATGACTTAATGCAACACAGGACCAAACTTAAAAAATAAATCCAGCAGTGACAAACAGAATATCTCAGAGATACATCAGCAGTGATGCAATGAGCTGAGCAGAATGATGATCAAACAGACTCAGAGGTAAGATTATGGTCACTCTACTTCCGCCATTTACACAGTTTCTGTGTTCAGCTCGGGGATATGTTGCAGAGGTGATTTGAACACACAGAATAAGAAGTTTGGACTTACTCAGCATGTGCGTCATCCTGGCCTTGCTGCATGAAGTCAAAGAGCTGAGTCACTGAAGGCAGAATGTTGTCGGCTGATGTGTTATGATACTGTAAGTGAATGTTTGAGGTGGTCTCATTGAAAGTTAAGGCAGGAAACTCGCCAATGTACGCAGGAGTCAGTTACATTCCCTCCGTGCAAATGACATTTGCTAGGCTGTGGAATATAAACGCTGTGGTTATACATTTACATATCTGTCAGACATTTCAAACGTCCACTGTCAGGCTTTAATGGCCGCACTAAAGTGGTAGTTTGAGCTGCAGAGAGAAATCGCCACTAATCATTAGATCTGGACAGGCTGTGAAGCTGACACGTTGCTAATCAGTTCGCGTGCTCTGCAGGTGACAGTACCTACCGCGCTACAAGATCGTGATTGTGTTTTAATAAGCTATGAGCTCAGGATTTGGGGAAAACCAGCTAAGATGGCTCCTATATCAAACTGTTACTGCACTATTTCTTGTCCTTCACACCTGCAAACCCATCATGCCCATGGTTTAAGATCATAACCTTTTGAAAAGCCCTCCATCTCACCAATCAATCGCAAGTCAGAAAAAGGACTATTGAGTGGGAACGTTTTGAATTAATAGATAAAGAGGTCTGTTCACAGAGCAGCAGAACTACTTTGCTCCGTGATGATGTATGACATCAGATATGATATTTATTATATCAGATACAAATAAATGTGGGAGCTTTTCTAGGCCATTGGCCCAGTTTGGCTTCAGAACAGGCCTCTGTTAGGTTGCTGGAAGCTCCCATTATTTCCCTGCACTTATCAATAGTGAATAAAATGTATTGTTGCATATTAAGTGCTGAGATGTCTTTATAAAGCAAGCCAAAGGAGCATGAGGCCAGCTCGTGATTGAAAATCTTTTTACTACCCCATGTGATAACACAGTACTGTATCATTGAGACGCACAGCGCTGTGCTAAACACAATTTACACTTACAATTTCTTTATTATCCAGCAGTGCGAAGTACTGTACAGTGTGATGCTACAGTTCAGTGTTTGCTCAAATTTGTATTCACTTTTCTTGAGGGATAACAACAAAAATGTTTGTTATCCATTTCTTTCTCATACACACTTACATAATCCAGCAGCTGTTTGCACTCTACTTAACATACCAGCAAATTGTTATCAGCATGTGTTTACATAATCCCACATTTGTTTACAGTCTGCTGCTTCTGGTTTTTCCAGTCTTTTGTACGAGTTTAATTGTGTTGTCGGGGGTTTGTGGTTGAGACACTGAATTAAATAGCAGTTTGTGTTGTATTCAGGTCGTTCTTGCTGTGTCCAATAGATTGTTTTTCTGGTGGCATATTTATGCAGCTTTGTTTGTTAGCTGGATATCACAAAAAACACTTCATACATTAAAAAAAAAGGTTTTTGAGGTGGCTATTTTTAAAGCATTTTCTATTTTTGCTCATTACTTCTGTACTGCGAGGCACAGAAGCAAAACTGTGTTTTCCTGGATTTTTGGGTTTAAGATGAATATTTCAGCATTTCGTCCTATATCTATATTTGGGTGACCACCAAAAGAAAGGCTTTTAAGTTGTTCTTGTTCTAAGTGTGTGGACAGCATGCAGAGATAGCACTCATCTTATGCCTCCACTCTCAAAATGTCTAGAAAATATAATTCACAAGATGATTTAAAGTTGTTTATTTTCTTCAATCAATAATCTTTAATGACGGTTTAGTTGGTGTCACATCATTGCAGGCTATAGCTATGACAGAAAAAATCAAACTGTGTTCTGTTGAAGTTAATAGACTCCCTCCTTAGATCATCAGACATTATTTCACTGTTTAATCAACATTTCTTATTGATTGGGACCGAGACTTCCACAAGACATTAACCACGTGAACATTTTACCGACAGACAAACACACCTCTGCCAATTAATTATGCTGTCGATGAATACCTGTCATTAATGGCCCCGAAAGTGTGTTTGTCTGCGAGGTAATGACTCATTGATTGATTTTTAAAGACTTTGTAAATATGCGTTATGTGTGAAGCCAGCATGCTCCATTTCTCTATTGCAATAAAGGACGGACGTCCAATAGATGGAAGTCACCCTGCCTGGCCTCATTTGAAGATGACTAATAAGCTGCAGAGCAATGTTCACAGCCGAGGCTCCTCATGGCTGCGGACGCGGGTCACTGATCATTTTGTTTCTGATTGATCAGACTCATTTTCTGTTCTCCTTTCCAGGAACTGCTGATATCTGCCCTCCCAGTAAAATCAACTGTGTTGACAAAGCACTCGGTAAGAAACAATCTTCCTTCATTTCTTTTCTCATTACAATAGATTCCCCCAAAGGGAAATGGAAACACACTCAGTAAATATGATAAGGACTTTTTTTCCCCCTGTAATACAAATACCTAGAGGTAGACTTTATATTTCGAAATTACTTTTCCCCATTGTGATTTAGTCACTTTAGAGCTTGATGGCCGTGTTGCCTCCATTGTTGGACTGTTAATATTAAACCCACTCTCCATTCCTGTATATCTGCACCCCCCCCACCACCACCACCATCCTTTAGCTTTGCCTCCGGCCTCTCTCTCCTCCACCTCACATCGTGACTGAACAAAGGTGCCTTGGTTTCAAAGGCGTCGCGGCTGCAGTAAAAAAGGAATTGGTCACAATTATCATTTCCCAGCTAAATAAGCCAGAAATTTAATTATGTCTCTCTTTGGTGAATCAGAAACCTATTTAGAATATGGTTGAATGAAATCTTAGATATATCTCACAAGAGAGGACCGTATTCATGTGGGTCATTTTCCTGAATCGAATAGCGTGAATACATTCACCCTCCATGAAAGGTAATAAATTAGAATATCATTTATATATTTATATTGTAAGGTGTTTTGTTCCTATACCAGACAATGATAATATGCCAGCGTGCTTCTGCATACACATGACCTTATTGTTAGAGTTATAAAATACATAAATCATCAATTTGTAATTACTGCTTTCAGTGCTCCCTCTCCCGCCTTTGTCTGGACTGAATGCATTTAGAATTTGAAAAGAGATTTGGAAAAGCTATTTACTCCCCTGTGTACTCACTGTTGTTTCAGAGTTAGGGTTTTGAATATGGATTTCTAAACGTGTGAGCAATTCCTGCCTCCAAGTTAATTGGGTGTAAGTCTACGTATGCATTTGGCATCGTCATCATTCATTCTCAAAACAAATGTCGTAATTACAGTATATTGCCGTTAACACTTTTGACACAGTAATTGTCTGAAATAATATTGTTAGAGTAACAAATCATTTTTCTATCCAAAATGATATTGGTCTGTTAATCTTATGTTATCTGTTTCTACTACGTTAGAGACCACTGCTGGAGAAGCCTTTAAAACCTGATTTTGTGCACATTTTATCCGCTAAATGATTTTCTGCAAACTGTTGATTCTCCATTCAAAGGCTGTAATGAATTTGTTCATCCTCAAAATGACCTATACATCTGGGAGAAACATTAACGGCTAGTAATTTTCTGAGCATATGAAGAAATACAATTAAATGATAATGAGCTCTGACTGCTCCTTTTTCGATAAAAATACACATTTTAGCCTCTATAAACCCTCCTATCTGTACTGGAGAAGCATCAGAGAAAAAGCCTAATTATCTCTATCAGCTGAGATATAGAAAATGTTGTCCATCAGCACACAATTATATTTTTCAGGTAACTTTACATGTCTCATAAAAACTGTTGCTACGGTTACCTGCTGTCTAATGTTCGTGGTGGATAAACTGTTGACTGGAACTGTGAATTAAGTGTTGTTACACGGACGCCTGCAAACCAATAAGAAAAGAATAAAAAGTATTTCAACTTGAAACTTTAAAGTTACACCAATCAATATTATACAGTATAATCATATCTGTCGCTCATAGTGACAAACCCACAAATAATTATCCCGATGCACTACGGAGCATTTTAGCATCTTTTAGCTAGTTGTTTTGGTCTTACTGTTTGGTTCACTCACCGCTATCTTCAGCCTTGTTTACAGCTGTAGCACATTGCTGTTTTTAGTGATGTAGTATTGGGTATAAACGCATTGTATTCTACAAGTCTGGCATCAATAACACACAGACAAATTAAGCAACTAGATGGTAAACATATAATTCAGCACGTAAATAACCACATAGAAAACAGTGAAAATGAAAAGTGAAAATCGGACTTAAACTTGCCAAGTGGCCATAAACACAGCTACAACATTGCAAATTTTACTATAGCCATTACTTCTTTATGGGGTGATAATAGTGTGTAAATGTTGTGTTTACAGCCTGTTCTGCTGCACCCAAGTACTAAAAAAGTATTAGTATTCTTATAGGACACATTCCCTTTCCATTCTACTTTTTCATTTGTTGCAGCAAGTGTTTGATTCTGTGAAGTATCCTGTATGTTTCTCTGGTAGAAGGCCAACAAATGGTCACCTTAACTGATCCAGTCTTTAGCTGTTAAACTGTTTCCATTGTGTTGCAGCACAGCTACAGAAGAACACTGGGGATACATGTCCATGCGAGACGCCTTGTAATCTCACGCGCTACGGTAAAGAGCTCTCCATGGTCAAAATCCCCAGCAAAGGCTCTGCTCGCTATCTCTCCAGGAAATACGACAAGTCAGAGGACTACATCAGGTACCAGACTAAACTCTCGTACGGGCAGTGATGTGCTGCCTCATAAAATGGGCCATAAACTATGACCTCCGGTGTGTGATAACAGAAACCCACCCATAAATATTAACAAAAGTCGATTACATGTTTACAGTACAAGCATCAGTTTATGTTTTGACTTTGGGTGAATTGATGCTCTACTTTAAATTAAACAACACATTTAATCTGAACTCTTCATGGTCACACTGCCACACAAAAATATCTAATGTAATAGATACTCCATTAAAGGGATACAATCAAGAAGGGTTTTGTCCCAGTACTCGCATTAGATTAGATTAGCCATTCTTTTTTTCTAAATCATCAAACTGCAAATGTTATTAAGATAGTTTCATTACTTTCATGTTTTTAGGACTACACACAAAACCAAACTAGAAACAGTCCAAATGTCAAAGGAGGTCCAATCTTCAATTCAATCCCCATTGAATATTTTACACAGAATTATTTGACATTGTGCTTGTATATATTTTCATTTGTTTAAAAAAAAATACTTCCATCGCAATATTGTGGAATCTGGTCTGCACAGATGATTGTTGTCTGTAGTTACGTTTGTAGCAGCTTCAGCAAGTCAGCGTTAGAAGTACTCAGATCCTTTACTTAAGTAAAAGTACATACACTATGGTCTTTAAGTAATCCACTCCAAGTGAGTAATTTCAAAATGTAAAACTACAAATAAGCATCAAAAGTGCTCATCCTGCATAATGGCCCTTTTCAGAATAAGCACAAGTACAGAGTTATTATCAGCTAAATCATGTATCAAAAGCAAAGGTACTCAGTAGTATGCAGAAGGGATGTTTTCACAGTATGAGATTATTTTGGTTATGATGCTTTTATACATTTGTGTATTGTAGTTGGCCAATGTGGAGCAAATTAAGATACGTGTAGACCAGTACTACTATACTGCATTATACAATATCAGCATATCATGTGTTTTATATAAGTAACTGTGAGTGTTAAATAAATGTAGTGGAGTAAAAAGGACAATATTTGCCTCTAAAATGTAGTGGAGTAGAAGTATAAAGTAACACGAAATGGAAATACTTGAGTAAAGTACAAATATGTCAAAAATAGGACTTCAGTACAATACTTGAGTAAATGTACTTAATCACTTTCTACCACTGAGGTTAGTAAATGGGGCAATTTGCTCGGATTCATTTGTCAAACAGGCAGGCATTTGACTTTTTAATCCTGTTCTACAACAATGAACATCACTAATATTCAGATAATGATCAACATAATGCATTTAAGATGTGCTTATACTGTAATTCCTCTCAGTGATTAATAGACAAGAAAGTGGTAGAAAGTCAACATGCTTAAACTAAAGAGCTCGGAACACTTAATGTGAGCAGACTTTCTAAATCCGGAGACATCAGAGACGTGTCGGTGACTGAGCTGTCTGCGCTCGTTCTGCTCGTCTCAGTTAAACCCTGAAACACCTCATTATCTCACAATCTCTGGGTAGATCTGTGTAGAGCGCTGTAGGCCTGACAGTCCCATCATAACAATTTACAGTGAGCATAAAGATGACTGGGAGTGGTACTTCTCAAATGATGTTAGATTTGTAGTGAATTAAAAACGGTGCAAGTGTATTTCACTGCGTTTGACACCCGCCCTCCTCTTGTTCTTTTTCAGAGACAACTTCTTGGTCTTAGATATCTTCTTTGAAGCTCTGAACTATGAAACAATTGAGCAAAAGAAAGCCTACGATGTTGCGGGTTTATTAGGTGAGATTTCTGTCACTTTATTATCTCTTCTCAGAATATATAAAGTGAATTGTAGATGCTGAGTGAAATGTGTCTTTACAGTAGCTGCACATATTTTTGTGAGTAACAAACATGAACTGCTTTAACATTTGCTGCTTCCTATGGCTGTTTCTTTTCAGGGGACATTGGTGGACAGATGGGTTTATTCATTGGAGCCAGCATCCTGTCAATCCTAGAAATACTGGATTATGTCTATGAGGTATAGTGCCTGCAAACACATGCCAGCCAATCACAATGTGAGATCAGATCTAATCTGATACATATAATAAACATCTATTTTCTCCAGCAAGAGATGTGTTACGGACCGTTATACCTGTTAGAGAAAAGACTACATTTGTGCGGTGTACATATCACTGTTAATCCTGAGCATCAGAAAATCAATCGGACTAGCATCATTTGTTATGCATGTGAGGAGTTTTATTTGATTTCCAGGCTGCCGAAAGTAATTTCCGTTCAGGTCTGTGCCGAGGACGTCATACTAACCCAGATCATAAAATGAACGCCTGCCTCAGATGTCTCCCCTTTAAGCTTCCAGTCGGCTACCTACTGACTGCCACACATGTAGGAATAAAGCAAAATCGGAGCGAGGGGCTGTAATGCAGACATCACAGTAATGAACTCCTCACTCTGCCGCCTCTCCCCCGCTCATCTCTGCTCTTTTCGCCCTCCCCGCTGCTGGGTAAAACCAGGTGATCAAGCAACGGCTACAACGTCTGCTGAGGCCGCAGAAAGAGCAGAAGAAGAGCAAGCAGCAGCCCAGCACTGTTGCAACAGTGGGCCTTGAGGAGATGAAAGCAAAGGTACCACACACTCTACGCTAACAAATAACTGCTGTTCTACCCAGTACACAACTTCCCCTGCAGCACTGTAACAGCATGAGGAAACTTCAAGACAATCATTATTAATATTCTAAAATGATGACTAATGTTCTGTTCCCAATTAGTCTTAACCACGGAGAAAAGCAAAGTCCTCCCCTGGAGCTTGGATTTGTTGTTGCACAACTTCACCCTCCTTAAATCTGAACAATACACCTCTTGTCTTATCTACCATCACTGTGTCTCAATTCCACATGATAAACCAAAACAGGTTTTCCATTTCTAACCAGCCAGCCAGTGGAAAACAAAAGAGCATTTATTCTGTTGCTGTTCAGTATCTGCAGCTTTGATTAGGTTTGCCTGGTGTGTCACCATTTATATTCCAGTAGAGATGCAGAAATACAATTAGTGTTGGACTATGGGAAGAAAACACCAGTGCCTATAGGAGAACTCATTGTCAATTCACAGAAAACATTCAGCTCTGATACCTGAAAATAAAATAGAGAAATAAGAAGTAATTTATTCTCAGCTACTATTTACCTAAATATCTTTCTCCATTGCTTCCATGGCCAATTGTAAGTGTTGCTCTCAACATCTCACTGAATTATCAAAAAGTTACAGCTGAGAAAATAAACATTTTAATATCATCCTGCACCTTTTTGGATGCATTATGAAACATGACATACAGTATTATTACACTGGATTAATGTTGCCTTCAACTTTTATATCAAATAATGACATTTTATAGGGAATACTTCATTTTTTTTACTTTCTCTTCTGAAAATGTTGACAGAACCAGGCTGCTTCCAGTCTTCTTGCTAAGCTGGACTTATTGCTTATTGCTTATTGCTTCTTAAAACTGCCTGGAGTGATCCCAAAATATTTCACTTTAAATTACATATGACATGATATCTACCGCAGGATGAATTTATTTCACTACTGTCAGGGTTTTTAAGGGCTGTCAATAGATTATTCTCAATGTACATTCTCGTCTTAGATTGTCACGTTACTCATGTTCTTTGAAGCTGACGTGTTTGCTGTGCCCTCAGCAGGAGCCCAATGACATGACACGGAGTCACCCAGAGGGGGCGTACGCCAACACCATCCTCCCCAACCACCACCATCCGCACCCTCACCACCATCGCCCCGGACACCACGGGGTGTTTGAGGACTTCGCCTGCTAGAGCCAACCGACGTCCCCTGTCCTGGTGACACCAAAAGATAAAAGCTGTCTGTGTTCAGATCAATTACAGAGCCTTGGCGTTTGCGTCGCTCCTTTGCTGTCACCAGTGAAAAGCTACAGCCAAAGTCGAACACTAAACTCGTGCTGCTAACAAAGCACTTGTACGTACAGTATTTAGGCACAAATTGGACACCGCTTTTCATTTTTCTCTCTGGACCCCTCTCATCTTCGTCCAGCTTCACGCGAACATGTCTTTGTGTTTTCAGGACTGGTGTTCGGTACATGATCACAAAGAACGACAGGAGGGACCGCATGTCAACTTGATCCAGTTTATACTCCGATTACTTATTTATCAAGCTCAGATTTATTTAGTTTGTATCCTCTCCTCGATCCATTCCTTCATGGAAAACACTCTGTACCATGACATGTCGTTACACATTATGTAATTATTTAAAGAGATACTATTATCTACTGTATATGTTCTATATTGTATACAAGATGAGAATACTTACAGTAATCTCACTCATGCTACATCCATCAGAGATACAAGGGAGGTTATTTAGGCTATACTGTATGACCTTGGCTTAGAAGATCTAGCAGCATCTTTGATAAACTGTCTGCTCTGTGGTTAAGGTGTTAGAGAGTAGCATTGTACCTGTACATACAACTTTAAAAGGAGAAAGTTATAAAGTTCTGTTTCAATGGTTGTTGTTTATCTTCAGTTAATATATAACTTATGTAATATGAATTTGAGTTATTTATACATTTTAGAGAAGACTTTTATACAACGATCACGATTGTAGCATTTACTGTACACTTTACGATCTGCAGATATGTCAGACTGCCGAACATCAATACATGTGTCCAGCTGACACACATGGACTGTATGGATTGTGACTATTATCTACATCTTTTCCTTTTATGCTTTTTTTCAACACTCAAAACCTGGATGAGAGTTGAATGATGTTTTCAGTTATGACATGGTTGTACTTCTTCTTATTCAAATCATTTCTGCCCACCATCCACTCTCCACTTTGGTTAGCATCATAACTTTAAGCTGACATAAGCAATAAGAAACAGAATTTTATTTTTGCCGAGTCATCTCCGTCAGCTTGTGAGCCAGTACCACTGTAAAAGTGTAGCAGCTATTTACAGTTCAGACCTTGTGTGACTGTGTGTGTGTGTGTTTGTTTGTTTGTTTGCATGTACACTTTAACATTTTGCGCACATGACTGAGCACATAGAGCTGAGCTGATCCGTGGGGCGAAAAAGGAAAATTGGAATAGTTAGAAAGAAAGCAGGGAGTTTTATTGCAGTGTGGCAGTTTTTATCGATTAAATGTAGGGTAAGGACGGCTCAGAGTTTAATTAAAAAAATTGCTCTGGAAAGCTGAAATATTCTTACTGGGACGCTTAATCCTCAATGGGCGGGACAAAGACACAAAAGAGCACAAGATGGCCGAGTGGGAATGAAAAATAAAAATAGAGACTTATCTATTCATCCATAATAATGTTCGTCGGCATCATTGAAGGTCAGCTTGCTCTCTTATCCTTATGCACTGCAGGAATTTAACAACCTGTAACATCTGGATTCATATAATCTGGAAGTTTAAGCCTTCTTTCTTGCGTTACAATTCATAAATGTATACGTATTACCCTGTAACAGTGATACTAACTTCACCATAGAAGTGAGACAGACAACAATGGAAATAGTTGAGAAATGATTGATTATGTTGCACATTCATGCTAGCTCCAGCTCTTCGATCCAAATTCTAGTTTTCGTCCGTTTGATTTTTTTTCAGCACTATTCTACTGTGTGTCGTCTCTTCTTCTTCTCCTTGTATGAATGGTTCCTTTAACCAGACGTCTTTGTTAACCTTGCAACCTTTTTTTATTATTTCGGTTGTCCTTCTCAATATACATAGAGTAGTTAAACGGCAGTGGCTTTTGTTATGTTTGTTATAATAGTTTTTGTTGTGCTGTGACGACACATCTGCTTGGTTGATCACTCTCGGTATCGGGATTTTTTAAATAAGGAGGCACACAGGGACCAGGAGCTAGTCAGATGGGGGTCCATGGGAAATAAGAACATTCTATTAGAAATAAATACAGCATTGACAATTTACTTAGAAAACATTTGGCACAAATGTGTGGCTCTTGAACAGTGCAGTGTGCCCTAACACAGGTGGTATTACACTTCACCAGACCCTACATTGCCCCTGCTACCCCAGCCCAATGGCATTAGTGGCTAGTGGTTGACAACATTAAAAGAATGACAGAAGCTACATGTTAAGTTATGTTAAGTTCCTGTAGTAGAAAACGGCTTTGGATCTAATTAACTACGGATAGTACTTGTGTTTTTATAAGAATAGGCACACTTGCATCATTTTTTGCAAGTATTAGTTTAGCTTTGTTTTCCTCTTTAATGAAAGAAGCATTCAGAAATGATGAAATAGAAGACATGCAGTCTTTTTTTTATTAACTCTCACCCACAGAATATTAGACGCTTTGTTTTATTAGTGTGTCGTAATTCATCTTCCATATTTGAAATTTCACATTGTGTTGTATTACAGGAAATGATGTGCTTAATAACTAGACAATTGTTTTTGTCTGGGAGGAGATGTTGATCATGTTTCCCTCATGGCAACTGTTCATGCATTAGTTTCGGCTTCAAAACAGACATTTCATCCTGTTTTGCTGCCCTTTGTGAACAAATTGTGTTGCTAAATATGACTGAAGCATAACCCTAAACCGCACAAATCAAGCCTGCTTAAAGACAGGCCTTTGACAATCCACTCTGTATGTAATTCATAAAAATTGTCTGGCAATGTATAAAATACTTAACATCACCGAAAATCATGTTAACAAATGTAGACATAATTTTTCTGTTAATCCTATCCGTGTTTTGGTTACTACAACGTTGCAATTCACCACTTTAGCTAACAATGAGATTCCACAGTCCTCCTCCTGTCAAGTAATCATGGGCTATACATGGCTGTTTAATATTCATAATCATGTGTCACTTTGACATTTTCAAAAGGTTCCCAATCACAGTCTCTGATGGCATCCTGTACAGGCTATGCATAACAATCTTCTCCTCTGTCATCAATAATTGTAGCTATCCTCAGACAAGTCACACAGGAGGGGGGGGGGGGGGGGGTGTTGAGATGAATACTGGGCTGCATTTTCACTGAACAGTTTTGTTTAAATGGTCAAGCCTGGGGTCCATGTAGAAAGCTTTTCTATCCTCCAGATGCTGAGCTATGTAAAACACAACCCGATTCATTCTGTATACAAAAGCATTAAGAAAAAAGAGGTTGATCACAAAGGGTTGATTTTACAGCAGTCTGAGAGAGGTGCCACAGAACTGAGCATGGGCGGCGAGTCTGTACTGTAGCAGATGGGACAACTTCCCTGCTTGATAACATGTAGCTCGCATTCCTGGGATTCCTCAGGGCTCTACTCTTAGCTCCCATATGCACAGCTCTTTGGGCCTACCTTTTTATAGCTCCATGTCATTCAGTCACATGTGCTCATTATATTACCCGTAAAAATCAATTTGATCCGAGCAGCCACCGATATTAACATTTTGAGATCTGCTGTTATGTCTTTCCTTTTTCAGCCGCTTTTATTTTAAGCTAAAAGGTCATCTGAGAAGAGAGGAAAGTCTGAGTGCAGAGTGACACAAGCAGCTGAGGAAGAATCCCATCCCATATCTGACAGACAAGGAAATTGACCATCACTGCAGTGACAAGGAACGCTGAGATTTTGTACAGATGTGTGATCTTGTGATTATTTTCTCTGTTAGAACACATTTTATAAATGTTAAATATGGTAAATACGATAACTATTAAAGTTTAGATTGGTAAAATCAGTGCCTCCTAAATCCCGAGCCCAACTCACTTTTTATTTGAAACTTGTCTATTTTTTCTTCACATGTTCCCATTTTGCCACAAATTGTAAAGCTTTTCCAACACTGACTATATGACGTTGCTACAAGAAGACTCAAGGCTTGCCAAAGGTGGGTATTTTGTAGACAACATGTAACAACTCATAGGGGCTTTCAACAAGTGTCATTATCTAGTTAGGATAAGTGATATATTGAGCACTTTGCTTAATTCTGCTCCTCAAAATACCATCCAGGTGAAACCGGGTTGTTGTGAAAACTAAGAACATCTCGTACAAGTTTGTAGGGGGACTTGAAACAACTGTGTCTCAGTGTGGGAGGAGAAAGTCTTGGGATTGAACGTAAAAAGAAGTACAAAATAATGACTTACAATTAAGTCCCAGCTGCTCTGTAGTTATGTGGTTTTACAGCATGCCTCAGGGTAGTACACATGGACCCTTGAAATAACTAAAGCTGTAATTAAGATTGCAACGTTTTCCCTGTTTTTACCCAGCCCAGACATCAGGAATACCTCGGCTCTGACATGGGCAGGAATGTTAACTGCAGGCCACTGAGCGCACGCTGGGAACATGGAGGAGATGGCATTATTACCAGTGGGTATTAGAAGAATTATTTCTACATGTTGTTCAGTAACACTGCTCACCTCAGCTGCCTGTCCTGGTCTTTCACCTGCCGACAGTTACGCGCTCTTCTGCTGACACCTAAAGGACAAACAGGATTCTGTAGCTTTAATGCAAAATAAATCTTATCTTAAAATAAAACAACAAAGAAGAAATGTTATATACAAATACTCTTTATTTAAAAATTACAATAATTCACAGTTCATTTGGGAATTACAGCACACAATTAAATGTGATGAGCATTCATTAAAATGTATCGCTTTGGTTATACTAGTACCCATATCCATAAAATAATGTAAATAAAAAAGGTATTTGCCTGCTTCTTTGAATGAATTACATGATTGAAGTGGGAAAACATACATTTTAAATTATTTTCATGGTCAAATGTCATGATTTTCAATGCTCAAAATACAGTATGTTTAATTTGTCACCAAATATAATAAAAGTATCATTTGCAGTGTACATAAAGCTACAATAAGCTTAAAAATAGAATCTATAAAATATTTATAAATGTACAGAGAATGCTGTGGAAGCCTCTGTTAGTGCGGAAGTATTCAGAATCTGCATAAGTCATAGAGAAATGGCAGATAAATAAGTTATGGACAAAACACTTAAGTCTTCGCTCAGCGATGGCGGCGGTGTTAACAACACGGGGTGATTAATCTGCCACGCTCGCTTGATTTTAAGCTTCTCACGTTTACAGAAGGCAGAGACGACCCAGATCACCACAATAACTTCATATTGTAATCCGAGCCCTCCGTCTTTCACAGTGGTTTTTTGGAAGATTCAGTTTCCATTTCTGCACATTATTAGTGTCATACTCTTCTGCTCTCTAAAGAAAGAGATGCGTTATAAAAATGACCTCCGCGGTCTTTGTTCACATGGCAGAAAATACAGCAAACACTGTTGAGGATCACCACTGCAGATGTAGTGTTTCCAATAAATACTTTGAATCCGATTAAAGTTAAATAAAATGGACTTGCCTTAATGTATTTCAAAGCAAATTTGATGATGAAAAGTGTCTAGTGTCAGCAAAATACATTAAAGGTCTTTTCAAAAGAAAATACAGTGTATTTACTTAACATTGAACAGAAAGCACCAGATGCTTTATGCAATGTCATGAACAGTATTGTGATAAACACACTGCAGTATTTGCAGCAATTGTCTTTGAATTAAAAGACCCCCTCCATCGGACATATAGCCAGTTGTGTTATCTGTAATATTGCACATTATAATATACTAATAACTTTCTGGTGTCCAGTACCGATACATCCACAACCTCCACTCAGTAATGTAGAAAAGGCCTCCCATTGGACTGCACTGAGACTGGGAGAAAGCTGCCGTTTCTAAAACCGAGCCCAGGAAATGGAGGACAATGACATCATTCAATAATTTATAAAAAATACTTTAGAACATTTAGACATCTTTTTTAGAGTATAAAAAAAACTATCTGCTAAACTTGATGTGGAAAAATTGTTTTTTGATTTAAAAATATTCAGTTTTAAAGTACAGCTTTAACGAGGACTCGCATGGGCCATCACTTCAGACGTTTACCTAGGTGATTTATTTCCCCCCATTATTCATGATTGCCCTTTGCCTCTTGAATGTACATTTTCTTACAACATCAAAAGCTTAAATACACACTGCTGGCCTACTGGAATACACTAGTCTTCACCTATAACCTCTGAAGACCAACAGAAGATCAACCCCTCCCCTGCTTTGAGGCACATTTAAAACCTGTCACCTTTAAAAAAAAAAAAAGTTAACTGACTCTCCATTCATTCCTCTCAGCTGTGTAACAGGCTTTATCCACAGTGGAAGATACTATCTCCCACCCAACAGTCAGTGTCAAGGCACATATACAAAGATTTGCCTTTGTAAATCAGAACGTGTCAAAAGCTCAATGCTTCAATGTGAATGAGCACACAACCTGTGGTGCAATATACCGATTATCTTTTAGAGCTTCACCTTAAAGCCCCATCTTACAATATCTTTGAAATTAACAATAAAAATGGACAATGAGTAGGATTTTTCAACATTCACAGTCAGCCCCTCCTCACCGTATCAATGAGGTTTACTGTGCTCGCCAGCGTGTAAAAGCAAAACCTCAGGGTCACGTTTTTGGTACAAGCATTGTCCGCATGGTGTTTCACCACACTATATTTGCATTTTTTTGGCACTGTGTCCACCATTCTTTTGGCTTTTTCTTTGATCTGTGCTTACAATCTGGCACCTGGTTGCTGCGTTTTATAAATGTTGGTGCACACAAAAGCCCCCAACACAGCAAAATGAACAGAAAATAGAAAATACAGGCAGAGCTGCTGAAACAGACACCATTCTATACACATACAAATACAATCCTACTCATTGTGCCTTTAAAATCAAATGACATTCTAAAATGTGAAAGTATTGCAGCTAATTCTTCTGATCCCACTGAATATCTGAACTGAACACGAGAGACGACACCATTGGGTCACCTATGTCCCCTGGACACCAAAGACATAACAGCTGGATGAACCAGCACTGCGTCAAGGCTCTGCTGCTGGCAGTTTCTCCCAACAAGTGATCAAAACTTGTAAATTGCAGCTTTTTAGAATCGTCACAGTAGCAAAAACATTTGGTTCTAGCAACTCATATGCATTGTAAACATTTAGGAAAGTTTTCATTAGGAATGTACTGCATTCATTTTTCCAAGCTAGCTACAACCTCAAACTAAAGAATGCTAGAGAATGTCAGGCAGCATCACATATGTCACCTCAGTTCTCCAGACTTTAGTTGTGCTAGCTTGTATCATAAGGTTTTAGAGCAACAAACACAGTTTGTAACCTCAATATAATGGAAGTTTAATTCTGGTTTCAAGTGCTGTTTCCTTGTTCTTGCTCAAACAGTAGCATGGCAAGCTGGGAGCGCGAACCGAGACCTTCCAGGTTGCTCTGAACACATCTGTGATAGATGTCTTCACTGAGCCGTGGGTTGCAGGCTTGGTAGCTGTACGGCTGGTGCAATGCTGGCTCCACTGCCCTGAACACGTGCAGGGCCGAATAGTTTAAGAACATGTCAAAGATGTCCAGGGTATCTAGAATCTCCTCATTCTCTTGGACGTCTGCCACCATTCGCGTTCGAGTTGCCATGTAGTCCGAGTTGTAAAAACACGCTTCTTCAAATGACCTGCGGTCAAAATGGCCTGCGTCCTTGACCAGATCAACTGTAGCCGGATGTGGCTGGTTGTGATAAGCCACGTCAGGGTTGAAGTCCTGGAAATGGACAGGGAAGAACACCTGCCAGTTGTTTATGGAGTTCATGCGGCAACGGTTCAGAAATTCTGAATTGACATTTGTTTTAATGTTAGCCAGGAAGAACAGCGAGTCAACTGGGTGCTTCTTTGAGATGATGTCCATGAATTTGATCTGGGATGGAGTTTCTGTCTTGACACTTATCCATGGGATTTTAACTGCAGGGTATTTACGTTCATAAGTGTTTATCTGAGCCTTCACACTGGCGAATATATCATTCTGGTTGACTTGCTGTGCCTCTACTGGGTCATAAATAAATAAAAATGTGAGAATGGCATTTTCACTGGTCTCAAAAGCATTTGAAGCATAGACTCCCAGGAAATGATCCACAGAGCTCCGGTCCTGCAGAGTAAGAGGTATAATGATGTGAATCCTGGTAGCTTCAGTGACGTAGGGCATGGGGATGATCTCAGTCCGACTCAAAGGTCGCACCAGATGAACTCGCTTAGTGATAGAACGGCTGTGACCTTTCTGGTTCACCACCTCCAGCTGAAGGTCCAAGGTGTACTCCATGCCCCTGACGGGGTCGAAGCGTCTATACCCGTTAATCAGCTGCTGCTTCTTCAGGTGAAGGACAGGCTTATACTTCTTGTTCAGCTCTAGCAAAGCTACATCAATGACATCGGCCACATCCATGCGGTCAATACCCTGCAGTTCACACTTTGGAGAGCCATCGACGCATGAATAAATCTCTTCCTCTGTAAAGTATTCCCACTTCAGGACTTCAAACCGAGATTTTGGTTCAAACGGTGGATTGATCCCCACAGGCCACTGGGAACTCCTGTTGCCATCAAAAGCAACCACACTCACGTTCTTTATTTCTGCCTGTGGAAACAAAAGATGTGTTTAAGATCTAGCTGACCTGCCAGAGGCAAGCAAAGAAAAGCCTGGTTTTTATTTTTGACTGAACCATAGGTGATTTGTGGCACTTGAAAAGCAGCTTACCTGCAGCTTAGCAATCTCATCGTAGGTCTTCTGGAGTTCAATCTCAGTGAAGTATCGGTGCAGCCTGTACATCTGTTCAGGGTCAGCCACTGGATGGACAGTCAGAGCTTTCTTGAACTGTTCACTTTCTTCTTTACTCGGATCTGAGTTTTTTCCCAACTCATAATGGTGGTACTGAAGCCCCTGAGAAGAAACAAGAGACGTCTTTACATGAGGCATATTAAATCCTGAATGACAGAAACATGTCTAACGTTTCTCCAAGCATAAGTTTTATGCTGTGCTGCTATTCAAACAAACATTACACGCTATCTAGGCAGCTTCTTGGGCTCATCTTCACTGCAAACAATCTGGTTTCAACCATAATTGCATAGTGAAGGCAAGACAGGGATTCATTCAGCAAAAATCCAACATTCTTTTGTTATACAACAGCTTTCTATTGTCAAAGTTTTGAACATTTCAGGAATCTAATTTGTTCTGGGATTATGGGATTCAAGAGATCCTTTATCTTAATTAAGCTCTCCAGTGTTTATTATCACAGCAGCATCAGGTTTAACTGCAAGAGCAAAGAATCTAAAAGGTTGAAACCTAATAACATAAATGACCGGAATCCCACTTAAGACACAGTCACTTAAGCTGAAAACAGAGTAGCATCCTAAGGAGCTTGAGTGATTAAAAAAGTGAATCCAATCTGATCAAGCTATTAAAAGAACAAAGAATGGAGATGCTGCTTAGCTGAGCAGTGAGGCCACTCTGTTGCAAATGTTTGCCAACAGCCTGTAGTGGTACGCTTAGTGAAGCATTATCCGTGCCTAATTGTCATCAATGTTGTCTCTTAACAGAAAATTGATGTCTGGCTCTGTGTTCAAGCTGATTTCTTCAACCGCACCAGGCCTTTTAACTTTCCCCCAGCTCCCCCTCCCTTGTTCAGGGGGAGCTGGAGCTCGTCTGGCTCCAGGCATTTTAGTTAGCAATGCAACTCACACTCAACTGTGTAACAAGATGGTATCCTGCACCGTGGCAAGGCCAAGGAGGAAGACATGGAAGCAAAATACTGGTGTATAAATAATAAGGTTGCATTTCCTTTGATAACATTCTGACAATATATTTGAATATGTTGTCCACAAATAAACATGGATGATGCAAACTGAATGCAACAAACAATCACCCGAGAGGGCACTGGGGCAAACAGACCTTGCTTGACCTTAATGCTAATGACATTACAGGAGCAGAGCATGTTGACCCACAGGGGATTTTCACACCATTGAACCTAAGCAAGGCTGAAATCAGCTGCGCTCTGTTGCCTGTTTAACTATTCCACCTTGGAGCTGTGTGGGGGGGGGGGGAGAAAGGCTAAAGGGTATTAGCAATCTACTCTGTAATATAAATACCACCTTTGTGCTACAATGGTAATTACACTTTTATATAGCTGTCTGTCAGGTTTAAGTGTTGTCCTTGAGGCAAAGCTTGATTCCGGCAATGACAGTTTGGTTATTCTGTCGAGAAGGAGCCCTAAACGCTCTAAAAACTGTGTGGCATTATTTTCCTCTGTTGCTCTTCATTCATTTGAACTGCCTCATTCTGTTCCCTTTTAACAGCAACCATTAAAAATGTTATGGATAAAGAAAATGTGTTATTGATAGAAAATTGAAAATACACTCCTACCTGAAATTCATTGACGCAGTTGGTGTGTGTGTAATCAATGATGCATCTCCCGAGCCACTCGTCAGGCCTTGCGCTCAGGATGTCGTTCCTGCAGTTTTCCAGGTAGGGCTGGAGTCGGAGGAGCAAGGTACGTGACAGGATGTACCCGTACCCTCCGTAGCAGTACTTCCCTTCCATTTCTCCTCCTATGAACTCCTCAGGTTTGCCCATGTAGAGCTCTCGATCCATGCTCAGGTGATCCACCAGGGTTTTGATCCTGTCAGCTTCCGTGTAGGCGTCATCCTGGACGAAGTAGAACCAGTCAAATTCATTGATGTAATGGTCTAAGATGTGTTTGATGTTCTGATACATGTTCCATATCAGCCTCTCGTCTCCGTGAGAGACCACGAACATGCCATGAGGGACTTTGCGGTTGCGCATGCCTGTGAAGAAGATCACAGAGTCCAGGTGATGGCTGATGGTGCGATTGACAGCTACACCCAGAGTGTTTAGGGTGTTCTTGGATGTCAGGACCCCGACAAACAGACGCTCTCGCGTCCCCAACTCTGTGCTTATGTATTTAGCCCTGAAAAACACAGCAAACAGTTAATGAATAAATGTTGAATCAAAAACTAGACAACACATTTTCACCAACGCTGAATACAAAATAAACTGCCTGTCACACAAAAGTACTACTAATGATTATTTCGACACCAACATATTTAATCAAATCTGTGGGTTTGATGATGCCATGGCAATTTGGGGATTTATTACACACTACCAAGGAAAAACACAAACTCTCTGGAAAAGTAAACGTGCAAGGACTTGAATTTTGATTGATCTTTGCAACCATGGCACACCCTACCCATGCCTCTATTATACTGTGCATTGGATCTATTACGCCTCTTAATAAGAACCACACCAAGGCAATTTGTAGAATATTTGATTAGCAGAGGAATCAGAAACTATTCTCCAAAGAAAGAAAAAATCAAACATTTTATGCTACTAACATCTCGTATGTAAAAATGTGATACCTTTCTTAAACATGTATAAAAGTTAATGAAATAGGTTTGAGATTTTAGAGATTTGAAATGTTGGTCAGACAAAACAAGATATTTAGTCTCTGGATTTTTGTTTTGATATTCAATTATCAATTTGTCATAACCGGGGAAATCAAACAGTATTTTTTGATAATTAAAAAAAATGATCTCTAGCTGCATACCTACCATTATATTCCAAACCACTAAATGGCACTGGTTGCCTTAACCTGTTCTTTAAGTTCTAACCTCAGAACACCTCAGGGAAAAGTCTCTTTCTCAGAATGTAATGCAATGCAACCACTTTGGGTGTGAGGGCTAACATTAAAACAAAGTCTCTATCCTGGAAATCTTGGAAATCCTGCCTGTTTACCAAGAATATGTGAGAAGAAATCATTCAGCATGGAGTCATGGAACTGTAGTTAATATTAGCTCTGGCAGAAAATGTAAGCAACCATAGACTGTAAATACAAAGGTAGAGACCAGCAGAAGAAGTTGTGGCTTACAGTTGGTCAGACTTTCTGTGGCAATTTCAGCAAGACCAATGATCAGTGTGAGGAAAAAATAATGAATAATTTAACCAAGTTATACCTGCCATTTGGTTTTGTATTGTAAGTGTAATGCAACATGTTGTTAGTTTAAAATCTCATACCAACATGATATTGAGTGGCACTTGTACATCTGGCAGCAGGTGAACACCATTATTATCATTCATGCATTACTAAAGATGAGCTATGGCCTCTGGTAGTCATAATGTGGCCTGTATTCAAACCAAGTATAAGCCATACACTCTGAGACTAGTTACAGACTGTTGACCAGCTTCAGTGAACGGCCATAAAAAGCTTACCTGAAAACTTTCTTTGGGGCGCTCTGCTGGACTTGTTTATATGGCACTATTCGCGGTTCAAAATCCTCGTCGGACTCCACATCGTTGCCAGTGGAAATAGAGTTGGGCTTTCGGGCTCCTTTGAGCAGTCCATCCTGACCCACAGTCACACCCTCGCCCTCCTTACCGTCTAGGTAACACGCTTCGTCTGTCCAGTTTACACTTAATAAACTCAACGTAAACCCTAAAGAAATACCGATTACCACCGGGCCGACCGACCGCAGCACAGAAACAAACGCCGAGAATCTCATCTTGTGTGTCGGCTGCTGTGTTTGGCAGCCCCGCGTCGCTTCAAAAAGCGTCCGAGCAGGCCTCTGGTCCGGGACGGGTCAACTGTACATCAAGTCAGAGTCTAAGCAGCTGTATCGACATTCAACTTGAGAAAAAGATGTAACTTCTTCCTTACATTTTACGCTGGATTCTTACGTGTCAGTGTAGCGGCTACCTGGCTCCTCCCCGGCCAGACGTTAGCATCAGAGGCGGGACTAGTTCCCCTCTGTGTGGATGCGTTCAGGCTGCGCTCGGCGGAGGGATATTTAAGAAGGCTGAAGGCAGGGAAATGCCAACTGGAACAACCATCGCCCCTAAGTGTGTTGACCTCCCTTTATATATCCTGGCATTATTAAATGAAAAATAAAAAGTGATGTATTTATCAATTGTGGGTATATATTTTTTTACTGGACCTGAAATTACAAACATTGGCATTAACATAAAGCTCATCATTACAAAACCATTACATATATCAAACCATGAGATAGTCAGCAACACAAGTTCATTCACATGCATTTTTAAAGGTATTTGTACTCTAATAAGGATTCACATGTAATTACCTCAAATAATTCCACTCCAATACAATTCAGAGGGAAACTATTGCTATTGCTTTTACTATATTGCTATTACCATTACTATTATTATTTGACAGCTCTAGCTGCATATAAGCTCCACACATTTCAGCATCATAAACATATTTATTTTATTCAGTCAGTGTTGTTTTCAATCAATTAAAATCAACATATAGTGTTATATTGTATAAAACTGTAACAATAATACTCAGAGGGAGCATGTAAGTATTTTATACACTTTTTACACACAATACTTAAAAGTTTTAAATGCAGGGCTTTTCCTTGTAATGGAGTATGTTTGGGTGTAGTTGAAAAGGATGTGAACACTTTCTCCTCGACCATTGGCCTGACATGCACCTTCATGCCTTTATGGATGAACAACTTCATTAGCAGACTGATACCAACCAGGTGCACCACTGAACACACAGATATTTCCTCCCTCTGGCTATCAATCTTTCCTCAGTGCTCACTAGACATTTACAAGGGTTATTACCATGTGCTCAACAACTTCAAAGTTTGCCCCATGTTGTTAACTACTACTGCTTTTATCACCTTCCTTGTGATGCGCCCTTTCATGTTCTATATAAATCATCTGAAAGAGAGCAAAAGCAATCAATCGAATGTCTGTGTACCTCATTTGTTGTTACAATTTAACTTTACCTTTAGTACTGTACATGTCAGTAAAAATGCATTTTGTCTGATTTAAGATTTGTAATTGAAGATTTTTAATGTATTCTGCTTTTCCAGGTCACTTGTTTTATCTGGTCCTTCCACCAGAGTCCTTAATGACTGTAAACAGTATGGTCTTGTAAAACGGTTTATTATTACATATTTAACAACCCAATAAAATATATTTCTTCATTGATTTACCTTACTATGCCCAATTCATGCCATTGTACTTTGTATTTTTTCAGTTTAAAATGAGTACAATGGTGCTCTTCACAACTTCAGTCGAGCTTCTCCAGACCTTCCTTATCAATGATCCACAAGAAAAGTCATCTCTGTGCAGCTGCTACATGTATGTCAGCGATGATTAGCTCAGCGTTCAGATCATCCACCTGGCTCCCCTCTCCTCTATCTGGCCTCTGTGCTTCTCCAGTCAGGGCCTCTGTGCTTTGTGGTCTGCTCAGTTGATCCTTTAACTGCATCTTTTTTTTTTTGTCCTTATCTGAAACTAGCTGCCTCCACCCTGAACCCCAATCAGCCAGAACAGCAGGTTTTTAAAAACGGTCATAATCTAAATACCTCTCTGTGATATGTTATTAAAATATAAATATAAAAAGTATCCTATCTTGTAATATTGAGATTGTGCTTTTGATCCACAAATTAATTCTCAGCTCTCTTGTGCTCTCTAGTGGTAACCAACATATTTACCTATATTTACTTGATTTTGGATCATACACGGTTGTCCAAATGGATTAAGATAAGGGGTCAACCATTAGAGAATAAACAATCCCTCAGTGTATCTTACATTTGGCTCCACACATTAATGAATAATTAATTGTTCTTCTTCTTCTTCCAAAGTTGCAGCCACAAACATATAGTCACTATATATTCTACTGCTGTGTATTTTTATTGATGCAGATTGAAACATATCTATTTTTTTTTTTTTCAATTATTGAAAACGTTTTTATATCCAACTTTTTGGTTGAATTTCTTCAGTAAATTAATGTCTTTGATATATTCTGAAAATGCTATACATGAATTAACAGAGGGAGAATTTCCTTATAAGCATTACACAATCACACAAATAAATTAATCAATCATTAGTTTGTGTATTGTAAGCTCTCATACACGCATGCTGAGATGATTTAAAGCTCTTATAAGACATTATTTAATTGACCATAAAACATACAAATGATTAAATATAGTTTTAAAAATGTTTAAATACTAAATACTATTCTAATGTTTATCTAAACCTAATATGAGGCTTTAACTTAAGTTTAATTGTTATGTACTTATACTTTAAATGAGTATCTATATTTAATGTTATTTTATACTTTAACTTAGGCTAAATGTACTATGAATGCAAATAGTGTGCTTTTTACTTCACTACATTTAGTTTGATGAGTTTATTTACTGCCATTTGTTCTACTTTGGTACGTTTTTTTAATATAAAGTATTTTCACACTGCATTATTTCTACTGTTATTTGAGTACAATACCTAAATACCTCTTTCACCACTTCTCTGAATATTGTTTAAATATAAAATTGCAAAGCTATCGTGTATCATCAATTTACTGAAGCTGAATTTGCCGTGATTTTGGTTGGATGCTAGTGTCTCCCACATTCGTCAGGAGCCATTGAATGCAACCGTTTAGGTGTCCTTGTAGCTGCCTGAAGAAAAACTAAATGTCACTAGCAGCACCGTCGCTTCTGTCCTTCAATGCTGGAGTTATTGCTCACATGCTTAGTGTCCGCGTGTTAGAGCCTGTGCACATTTTTAATGCAGCTTTAGGATTCATCACGTCTGTTGTCTCTGTACGTTTTTTTAAAACGCAGTCTGTGTTATTGCGGTAATGGAGTGTCGTGTGCTGTCCATTCAGAGTCATGTTGTCAGGGGATACGTTGGGAACAAGTCGGCAACATTCCCGTTGCAGGTAAGAACCGGATCTATCATCCTGTATCATGCGTCTCAGCCTGGCAACAAAACAGAGAAAACTGCCCTAAACATGGAAATTACATAATATAGGAAGTGCATTTCTTATAGAGCTTGACTTCCTGCTTTGGGGTTAAGAGTCTTGCATTCATTAAAACATTATCCGAAACATTTCCTGTCCTTTCAAACTACATAGGCTGACCTGACGTCCTGTGACGTAATATCAATTCTTAAATTATAGTATTATACAGAGCATTGTTGCAGTTATCTGCTCCTTACAAAACATAGTGTGTAGCTACAAGTAGCAAACAGTACAGCCGTATAAGCTATGGCTACAAACCATAGACTGTGTAAAGTGATTACGTTGAAGCTTGTCTAGAGATGTTTTTGTGTATTTATTTGAATGTCCCAGATGACAGTGTGGAGTTTTAAAATGTTTAAAATGATGGTAGTAATACGTGTTACCTCATCGTACCAATAAATGGTATTTATACTCAACTTTCAGATATAACTTTACATTGTAATTGGACATTTTGAAAAGCACATTGAAGTCCTGCCTTTCAATATGATTTCTCACCCTCGAGAAGAATGTCTGAGACTCACAACACTTACACAATGAATAACCATTGTAAGCCATGTTAATTATCAAGTGTCCTCAAACATGCCAAGACAATGATCACAACAAAAACATTGGGATGCCAAAGAAACCAAGACAGTTCGTATTGAATGCCTGGGTAATTCAGCATGCTGTTCCCACAGCACAGTGACATTCAGACGTCATTGTTGTCTGTTTTAACAGCTGTTTTATTTCTCTTTTCTCAGGTGCTGGGCTTTGAAGTGGACTCTATCAACTCTGTGCAGTTCTCCAATCACACAGGTTGGCTTTTAGATTTCCTAGTGTGGGAAAATAACTGATGCTGTTTCACTCAGTATGTGGATTCAGCTTTTATCTTTTAATTGAAATAGCAATAATAAGCAATTATCTTTGAGGTTTTTTAATGTTATTACTGATGAAGAACTAGAAAAGGGATGCTTTAAGTCTTGAGTCAAAAACGATTAGGTTGTGATGCATGTGGTGTCATACTGTGTCTGAGAGGATCTTCGTACAGACTTTGACCACAATTGTATTCAATTTGTATCTTGTGCTCTACCAGCACTCAAACAAAGACACGCAAAATGAGTTAATCACTGTCCAAAGCTCATGGACTTTTCCTGTTTGTGTAGCAACGTTGGATAAGCTCTGTATGCATTCTTTAGTCCCACTCAGTGAAACATTATCTGTTTGGGTTTAGAGGAGGGGTCTCTGTCCATCTGTTTTAAGTAAATATTTATGTTCTTTTCCGTCCTTTCCGTTAATGATTATTATTTTTTACTTTAGATCTTTATCTCTGGCTGGTTGTATTTTCGGAAGTTAAAATATAATAACCAACAGCGCTATCATTATTCCACATACAACTAGTGCTTCATTATAGTCATTTTGTAAACAGAGGCAGTCAAACTACTTATCCCTTAAGCAAAATATAATAAAAACGTAATGTCTTACATTATAACTTGCTGTCAGAAACACCTGTAGAGAGGATAGGTTTATAATCTTGGCTTCACATGCCAAAGCACCACAGGGGCAGGAGACATTTCCACCACGTTACATCAATAAAAGCCTCTGCTTTTAGTGAAAGTAGACTGTTTAGTTTTGAGTACATGAAGACAAATTATATTTCAAGTATACACTAGTATATGTAGACAACTTTAATATTCAGAAACGTTAACTCTTATCACTCAACACTTTGCCATCAAAGCACATGCCTCGACTTTACCTCCAGCTTTCTGTTAAACCCTTACCGGAGGGGGGGCTCTCTCTCGCTGGCTGAGGGTCAGGTTTGGCCTCTGTGTGAACAGTATAAAGAATAAACCAAAGTGTGTTTGTGTGTGCGTTCATTCTTTATCCAATCATTTGCAGTCAGCACAACTTTCGAGGGTTTATTCTAGGTCAGTGTTGAAAGAGGGACAAAGAAAGGGGGAAAGTGGCAGCCAGGATACAGGCATCCTATTCAGTCTGTGTGGAGGCCACGGTTTGGCCCTGGACACCACAGAGGAGAGGAACCTTAGAAGAGGGATTGGGGGGGGGGGGGGGGGGGGGGGGGGGGGGGGGTTGGAAGACGAAAGCAAGGAGGGGGAACACCGTTTGATGGCACAGCAGGGCTAATACAAAAGTTTTTATTTATTTAGTGTGTGCCATAGGTCCCCACGGATCCTCACAAAGTCTTAAAAGTATTGTCCAAATGTCAATGTCTTTCAAATGTCACGTAATTTTAAACCTCCATTCTCCTTCTTGAATCCTAGGCTACGCCCATTGGAAAGGTCAAGTTCTGACAGCGGATGAGCTAAATGTGCTGTATGAGGGCATTAAGCTCAACAAGGTGAACCGCTATGACTACATCCTTACAGGTGAGGCTATGCTTTGGAAGCATGGCAACATAGTTCTTTAGCAACGACATGTTATGACAGCTTTGGTTTGCCCTTTATTAGAAGAGGTATGTTTTCCCCTAAGTTATTGATATGTAAACAACAGTGTTCCCGACAATAAATCTGACCATTAGTTTGCTATTGATAAATTGGTTAGCATGAAAAATATTCAGTGTACTTAACAGTAGCAGCAAAGTATCACAGTCTAACAGTGGGTCATTCTCTTCATCACACGTTCATCTCCAAGGTTACAGCAGAGACACGTCCTTCCTGATGACGGTTGTTGACATCATTCAGGAGCTAAAGAAGGCCAATCCCAGCCTGGTATATGGTGAGTAAACATTGTTACTTTGTTTACATGTTCAAAATGAAATAAGCAATATTGCTTTGCTGACTCGATCATTGAATGGACAGAAACAATTGTATTCATAGATCAATCGTCACAATTAAGCATGCTATTTTAGCTTCTCTTTTGCTGCTTTCCTTTGTATTGAATGATGAATAAATTGATAACATGACTTTCGGTTTGAACTTTTCACTCATTTCTGACGTTCTACTGACTAAACATTAGATTTATTTATCAATAAAATAATTATAAATTAGGCTTAATTCATTAGGAAAATTAGCGTCAGTTCTTAACATACAGCCTTTTTGTTCTTAGTGTAAAGAAGTTAAAGCCCTAATAAAGTGTAACCGTTGTCCTCAACGCAGGTACAAAGTTTAACCTAAAGTTGTATTTTTCACAGTTTGTGATCCTGTTATGGGAGACCAGGGGGCTATGGTAAGCATATTACTATCATTTCCCGTTTTCTTTGTCCAAACTATCCAGTTGATGAGAGTTACTTTACTCTGCACTCTTTTATTTTTATTTTCACCATAAGTTTGTCCATATTTGTAATTGTTTTATTGTTTTTGTTGTCTGTATCAGTACGTTCCAGAGTACCTGCTGCCTGTCTACAGGGACAATGTGGTGCCTTTGGCTGACATCCTCACCCCCAACCAGTTTGAAGCAGAGTGAGTGCACTTCCAGTCATCATAAACTAAATGTATAGTACGCAAACCCACATACTAGAAATGAATAGAAAAACCTCCATACACGAGCCGTATACATGAATTAGGAAATAATACTAATAGCCTTATTAGCTGGCTTATAGGGAGAAACATTAAATGAGTAATTGATCATTATCTGATGCAGGTAAATACTCATCTAAAACAACTGCCAATATTTTACACAGACTATTAACCGGGAGAAAAATCATCACAGAAGAAGATGCTGTTGAGGTTAGTATCATTATATTTCTCACTATTTAGTTAAGTTTTTTAAATCAATAATGGTTGAGGAAATGGGACCCCTCCTACTCTCCAGGTGATGGACTTGCTTCATAAAATGGGACCAGAGACTGTCGTCCTCACCAGCACAGACCTGCCCTCCAGACGTGGGGACCAGTTCCTGGTGGCCCTCGGGAGCCAAAAGATAGGTAATATTACTTACCAAATGAGTTTTAGTGATTCCTGGTTCATATATATTGTGTTAGCACGTTATGTTAGACCTTAGTCTTTCTTTTAGCTAAAAATGTATTCTTTTAAAATTATGGGATAGTGGTTTACTTCAACCTCTTGTGGCTGATATAAGCATTACAACAACAGTTGAAAGGAAAAACAACATTTGTAAAATGATCCAAGGTAAAAAAACTATTTTTCTTTGGTATTGAAATTGTTTTCCACCTGTATAAATGTTATGTTATATATGTTTAAATCTTGCCATTCAGGGCTTCCATAGTGTTTTTTCCCCCTGGCAGTTATGATATCAATATCCTGTGTGTCTCCAATTTCCCCCAGGGAACAAATAAAGTATTTCTGTTTCTAACTTCTGATTCTGGATCACTTTAGTGAAACCAGATGGGACCGTCACCAGTCAGATAATCTGCATGGACATTCCCAAAGTGGATGCTGTATTTGTGGGGACAGGAGACCTGTTTGCTGCCTTGTTGCTGGCCTGGACTCACCACTACCCCAAAGACCTGAAGGTCAGTGGCACATTAGACTTTTCAATCTATCTAGGCTAATTATGTTGCTACATTCCTTAATAAACTGACACAAATTTGATTGTCTTCCTTCTGTTATTCACAGGCTGCCTGTGAAAAGACTGTTTCGGTCATGCACCATGTCATAAAGAGGACCATAACCTATGCTAACGGTAGGATTTATGTGTGTTTTGACTTTATTTTTTCTTTATGTTTAGTCATATATTGAACCTAAAGGACACTTATTTGCTCCCTTCTGCTGTTAGTACTATATTTACACAATCAATAGTAATATTTCAACCAGTAGTGTGCACTATGTAGACGCCACCAGCATTTTCTCAAAGAAAATGTGTTGTAGACACAGTTTATGAAATTACTTCACATCGTTTGCCATCTCAAAGATTTGCTTTTGCTATTGTTGGGTTTCTAAATATCATGGAGAAGGAGGCATACAAAGTTGTCATAACTGTTGCTCTTGTCACTGTATGTAAAGCATTCACTGAGACAAGACTCTGTGACTACGAGATTGAACAGTAAGCCAGTCAATAAAAACCTTGTGCTTTCTTTTCATCTGCTGTTCTCTATTCCAGAGATGGCTGGCCCTGGGAAAAGGCCCAGTCCGGCACAACTGGAGCTGAGGATGGTTCAGAGCAAAGCCGACATTGAGAGTCCTGCCATTGTTGTGGAAGCTAAGGTTTTACAAAAGTATTCACACTGAATACCCTAACGTTGTCGTAAAAAAATCAAATTTTGCTGGTTAACAACCGGCTTCAAATCTGGGCCGTCCTCCAGACACATGTAGGAATTTTACATAAAAAACTGGTTTGTGTCTCTGCCTTACAGAATCTCTGAGGGAGTACAATATGTTTTCATGAGTGGGTTCAGCAGGATATGCTGTATGTACATTCTGCTCACAAACACAGTAGAATCACTGTCATATACATCCGTCCTATGGCCTGTGTCGACATCATCTGCCATTCAAAACAAATGACGACATTAGCCAATGATGTTTAGGTTTAAAGATAGTGTTAGTGTACTTGAATAATCACCAAAATGGTGAAAATGATCTATTCTTTTAAATTCTTTATCTATAAAATAACTCATCTGAATTAAGCTGTAAAGATGCATGACTATGCCTTTACTTGTATGGATCAAAAGTAAGGACTAGTACTTGTACTTAAAGTGTGTTGCTCACAAGGCATTATAAGCACAGCCATAAATTATTTATGATATATTTAAAACATTACTGTTTAAGCCAGAAGCAGCACATGATGCAAAAGTAAACAGCTTCCGATGAAAAGTAATAATTTCTTAATGATGTCAGATTCACAGAGAACTTAAGTGCATAGGGAGTTTTCTGAATGTGCTTATAATGCCTTTGTGTGTTTTATTATGCACTTCAGCTCCACGTATACATGCAGATCTAATGCATTATAAGTGTTGAAATGTTAATTGTGAGTCCAACAAAATTTCAAATCATTTTATGCAATCAATGTGTGGTCTATACAGTTTATTTACCAATTAGTTTTATTTCAAATGTAGTTTAACGATAATCATGAAAATAGTTGATGTCTAAAATAGTTATTTTACTGAATATTCTGAAAATGTTTTTCACCTCCTTTTTTAATTATGCATTGATGTCTTGAACTAGCAGATGTAATACATGTTAGATCCATGTCTTAAGCATCTCAAATTGAGGTATTTGCACAGATAATCTTTAATATATTTACTAATGATCATCATATTAATTTTTGACTGTTGTCATATCTTACTTAAAGAGTCGGTATGAAAGACCATGCTGTAAAAATTGCCTTAACGGGGTTTAGAATAACAACATTGGTTGTGAATGTTTTTGTGTACCAATGTAATAGTTGATCCTCACACATAATATTAGAAAGTCAAGTGCCAAGCATTGAGCTGCTGCTCTGAAAGACAGCAATACAAGAAGAGAAATAATAAATGATTCATATTTTACTGAAACTGTGTTTTGATTTTATTTGTGTGTGTGTGTCATTTTGTGTCATTTGTTTATCTTTTATAAATAGGTTGCAAGATGAGTCTTAATTATGTGATGTTAATTTTTTTTACTGAAACTTTTTCTTTTAGGTCTATTAATGTAACTCTGGGCAAAAGAGCAAAATAAAGCCAAAGTGTTCACTTGAGGTTGGTCCATTTACTGTCAAGTAAAAAAGGAGTGATAACAAGATGGGATAAAATTGAAACACATTTGCCTGGCACAAAAAATAAACTAGACATGCTGTTTGTAAAAAGCTTTAGACCGCAGAAGTACAAGTACAAAATTGTACTTCAGAAAAAATGAAAAAGGTTGATTCAAAAAGGCATTCTAAATAAAGCTTATTTGATTGCATTTCATATTCATGTATTACAAATCTCACTAGATGCTTTTAATATGGAAGAAATAAGGAAATGAAGCAAAAATGTATAAGGAAGGCAAACAAGTCAGCTTCCAAGTGCTTACTATACTACAGTGTGATTAAACCCAGGTGACGGCTCCATTTTGCCAGCACTAATCCACAGTATGAATAGCAAGGGATTAACCCAAATAACCAGACAGGCCAATATGTCTGCCTGATGGCAAACTGGATGCAGTAAGCAAAAATAACCTGGCTGAGAAACTTGTTGTGAAAGAGCAGGGATGATTTGTTATAGTGACTGGTTCACATTACATTAGAATCCAGCAAGATATGATGCCATATGTTACCAACAGACATGCCAGATTTGTCACACTAAAGGCCTCCGGCTTCTGTGTGCAAGTTTCTCATCCCTCAGTTTGTCCCACTTCCAACTCGTGCTGCAGCTATGCAAACACACCAGCAGAGGGCTAAAGAGGTCTAAAGTTGACCCACCATGCACTCACACACAGGGAGGGAAATTACTTTAATTACATGTCACTGGCTGTGTAAGGTTACGAGCCAAAGGTCAGCAAAAAGGGAATACCTTGTGCACCATTACACATGCATCGACATGACTCTTTTATTAATGAAGAAAAACCCAATACATTTCCTTTTTTGTTTCCCATAACAACAAACTCTGCCACAGGTTATGGGTGACTGACATAAGGCTTAATCCAATGTACAGTGTTTGGGAGTCATTTAAGAAGTTTAACTACAATTTGCAGTAGCTTGCTGGTAGTTCAACAACATTAATATTTGCATAGGTATTCAAATCAAAAGTTAAATAAGTTTTTTTCGTGCCATTTTTGTGAAGTTTACTACTGAATCTACAAACTGTAAAAGAAAGGTTATTATATGGTTCTTTTATTTTACTCTTCCTTCTCTGCTGTAATTGAGCACATTTTTTACCAGGTGCATCCAAATATTCTTAAATAAAGGAATATCATTGTCAACAAGTTTTACACATTTTTACGGTTTAAAGTTTGTATTTCTACTTTGTAACCAGAGAAGCTCTGTAAATGTAGCTTATCATGAATTAGATAATTTTATGAAACTTGTTGAGTTATGTTGTCCGTTTTTTGTATACAGACGATTATTTGTGTCTTTCTGAGACAAAGGGATACTTACAAAATAATAATTACACATATTAATTCATTTCTAAATGTTTCAACCAAAAGCCTGCTTTATTAACTGGTGCATAGTGGTCACTGGGAATCACAAGGCCTATGACAAAGTACATAGCCATTATTTTTTTACCTGTAGGCCTACCTATACTTTCACTAATAAATAGATCAAGATGTTTTTTTCGGGCGGCCAGGGTTCCATTATTTGAAAAATATATGTGTTTAAATCATGTCTAAGAATGAATGAGGGGCCGGACCGGATGTGGGGCACGCCACCTTCAGGATGGGCTTTGAGGAAATGTGTGGCTTTAACAGACAAACAATAGCGCTCCTGCCAATCGCATTACCTCAAGTCATATTTATTGCGTTTGAGGAAACGAACGAAATAAGAAGGGCTTCTTAACCGAGTTGTTTTGCACCCCTGACGGCAAGGAAGCAGCGAAAAAGTAAAACAAAATACCGACTCCCAAGTGAATCATTTCAGGTAAGCCCAGAGTAACGTTAGCCGGCTAACTAGCATAGCGCAATACAAACTACTCGGGTCAGTTAACTATTTACAGATAACACTAATTAATGTGAGTAATGTGTCTCTTATTGACAGAATACACTATTCAACTAGACGACTACACCCGCCTCATATAAATACTCTTCTAGGTGTAGTGGTGTGTTAACTTAGCATGCTAGCCGTGCTGTTAGCAGCCCACTGCCCTTGTGCTGCTCTGCTGAGTTGCACAATGCACACTAACGTCAGGTACACACTCTAGTCACCCAGCGATAACTGATTTATCGTGTCTGATAGAAGAAACTGGACGGACTGGTAGGTTTTATTTTCTCTTGTAAAGATGTGTACTTTTTGGTGTTTTCAACTTTGAGCTCCCTAGCTAGCTTAACGTGCGTCTCTTCGGCCGCAGTCACGACATGTGTCAGACGAGGAGCCAAGGCACTGGTGGACTGAGGGGCACGCTAGCTAGTACGTTATTTAGCTTTATTTTAAAGATAGTCGCACTAGTGCGTAGAACTCTTACCCTAATAGTGCTTTATTTATCATGGGACTAATGAGCAACACTACTAAGCCGGGTACCGTTAGCTGAAGTAGTACAAAGTACGCCACGAGTAGAGTCACAATATCACGGGGTTCATTTAAAAAGCCGCTATTGCAGTTTGTACGTCATGTCAGGCAGCTGGTCGACCTGCGTAAAGATGTCGTACCACACATCAGACGTAAGGTTACTGTAGTTCATTCAAATCTTCGGCTTTTTCAGCCAGTGACAACTTTACACTTATTTTCACCAACGAGGCGAGCAGTGCGTACGTGACAGGCAAGTCATTTTTTAAGTGATCGTTCTTGGCACTTCTTGCTAGCTGTGATTGTGTTTACTACTGATCATAATAATGCTCTTCACTTTTCATGTTCTCACAATACTGTCTGCGTAGTTTAGTCAAGCTACAACAATAATGGATAGTCACATTGATACAGCGTCTGGCTTGATGGACAGTGCAATAACACATGTTTAATGGTAATACGTATTTTGCCTCATTGGTTCCACAATGGTAATGTAGAGTTTATTGTAAGGTGTGCCTGCAACAGACCTTGACAGGGAGACGTGCACACTGCTTTTGTGATGGCCTATGCTAGTGATTGTCTAGTGTTATAAATGGTTTGGTAGTGTGTACTGTAGTAAGGTGTGTGTGTGTGTGTCATTTTGGTAATGTGATTTAAAAAAAAACAATGACAACTATCTCAATTGCAATCTGTTAATTTTCAGTTACCCTTGACTGTCTCATTTTCTCAGTATTAGTGGTAATCAGGATTTCATACTGCTGACCACAGGAACTTCTAATAGCCATTTTGCAATCGAACAGATACATTTTGTAAAAAACTCTAATTATGACTATGCTGTATAGTAAGTAAGAAAACTGCAAACATCCAAAAGGTACAGCTTTCAACCCAACCAGAAACCTTTCTGGACATCTTGAGATATATATGTTGCTTGATCATTTTCCACTGAAGAATAAGAAGAAATTATGTTATTTTTCTTTTTTTGTTAATTAACTTTTTCAAAACCCTGTGCAGGTTTCAGCGTTATAAAAGTCTTTGTGTGGCAGGTTTTATGGGGACAGGACTGTTCATAATTGTCTAACTAATTATGTCTTACAACACTTTTAACCCTAATAAACCAAAGTGCAAACTGAATTGGGCGGCCTACTGCACAATAAGTCATGCATGTTTTGCAATTGTGGTAATTTGAAGTATCTCCCTCAAATCTTAAAGGTCCCATGTCATGGCCATTTCTACTGATCATAATTCCATTGTTGAGGTATACTAAAATAGATTTATATTGTGCAATTTTCCAAACTCACATTGGTTTCTCATACAGCATCTCTGTATAGTATGTGTATTCACTCTCTGTCCTAAACGGCTTGTTGGAGCTCCTGCCCCCCCCCCTCCCTATGAGCCCAGTGTGCTCTGATTGGTCAGCTCGCCCACTCTGTTCTGATGAGTCCACCACCGTTACAACGGAATATCAGTGATTATGTGTTACAATGGCGTTAGCAACCAGAAAATGACACCAGCAATGACAAACAGATGAGAATGCTGCGTGGGGTCTGGGTGCCGTGTTGGCGGGACGTTGCGGGGCTCGCTGCTGGAGCGGACAGTGTGAGCTGGCTTGCTGCGGGCGATCTGCGAGACAGCAAGACACAGCGAAACCCAGCCTGAACCCAGCCCGAGCACACACACACACCTGCAGCCTGGCTGTGAGTCTGCGTGTGTGCTCAGAACGAGCCCAGGCCGAGCCCCGCCGCGTCTCGCCGTCTCAGGCTGAGTTCAGGCTGAGAAATCCACGGAGCTGCAGCTGAGAAAAGATTGAGTCCCAATCCGCGGAGACGTTGCGTCACTATACCCAATACGTCACTGTACTTACTACACTATAAGAAGAAAACAATGGAAAAAGATAAATCTCCAACGAGACGTTCTGGGGCAGCATAGACAGGTATTTTCTGTGTTAGAGTTTTACTCGCTACAGGGTGTACTTTGAGGGTTTGTGACTCTGCAGACCGTTTACATGCATAAAAAGCTACATAACACACAAGGGGACAGTTAATACCCGGAAAAGCATGACATGGGACCTTTTAAATAAATATAACATGTCATAAAACTGTTGGAACAAAGTCCAGTAAGATGACTGTTTGGATGTAACTTATTTAACTCTTAATCAAGTATTGCCATATAGGTCTTTGACACATAGCTTTGTAGATAAGGTTTTATCTATGCTGAGCAGTGCCATCGTGGGCAGTAACTCAGCACCAGCAATGAATAGTTTTATTAACCTCAAAGTCATATTTGTGAATGTTCGATTACTGCAAAATACCTTAACTTACAGAGTTTGAACTCAAGCTGTCAAGGAATCAATTTCACCCATTGACTTCCCCTCCTACTTTTTCCATTAGTCCTATTATATGCTGACTACAGCTCTGTTAAGTGCCTCCATAACCCAAAGCATTCATCTGGTTGCATCTTTAGAATTTATTTAATTTATTATCATAATAGTTATAGTTAATTGTATTTCACTTTACAATATTTAACCTTACATTCTGTTTCTTTCACCTGCACTATTTTATTCAAATGTGTCGTACTCTGTTTCATTTTTATTTATTTTTGTATTATTGTTATTTTGTTGTCGTATGTCCTTTATATAATATGTTGCATTGTTGGAGGAGCTCGGGACTTATGATTTTCATTGCCATAACTACATTGTAGCTACTGTGATAATAAAACCCTTGAATCTTGAACCTTTTCGATAAGTCCTTGACCCTTATCAGTCATCACTTCTCACTATGGCAACATCCAGATTCCAGATGGAGCCTTGTAAGGGTGGTATTTAAGTGATGCAAGGCCATTACATGTCAGCAGGAGCTCCTTAACTTATTTATAAAAGACTCTGTCCATTTCTAAAACACTATTCTGTTTGTGGCTTTGCATGAAATGTTTGAGTAGTTTCCAAGAACTCCTCAATATCCACAGTTTACACTCCTGAGAGTAATAACGTACTCTTACTGTAATCTAGTAATGTAGCCTATATCACCTAAAAGCAAAGATCTTGAATTTGTTTTAATAATTGGACGACATTAGCTTTCGGCACACATAAGGTAGTGGGAACAATAAATTCCTGCTTTTGTTTTTGTCATGAGATGTGTTGATACAAATAACTTATAAAGTCATTATTATTTTTAATTGAATATTGACAAAATATTCTTGCATTTTCACCAAATTAAACTTCTTCTGGTGCATTATCATTCTCCATATTAGTTATATTGCTTTCTGGCCTATGTGTGCATTTTTGCAATCGAACGAATAGAACACACTATACTGTAAGTGTTGTACAACTGTATGATGGAAGTTACAATTGAGTCTTAAGAACTACAGTCGTGCTACGTGCAGTATTGAGAGCACTTCATGCTTTGAAACATGAATGACCTTCATTGTCAAGCTAACCCAATGTATTTTTAACTCTATTTATATTCAGCTTTAATGCCCAGTGGCGAGGCCTCTGGACTGTACTCTAACCTTTTGACCTATTTGATTTAGTAAACACTGGAGTTCATTTCTGCTTCTAAACCACATCTGACATTAGCTCTGTGAGGGAACCCAGAGGCTTTTGTCGGCTTGCCCACTAGGACTGTTTGCCCTTGTTGTGTGGTTGACTAATACAGATATGTTGTAAATAATTTTTGAGGATATTCATAACTTTCTTTGCTCTTCCAATTATACTAGGTCAAACAAAAACAAAGCACAGGTTGGCAACAATCATATAGGGGTTGTTTAAGGAAACTATTGACCTTTGAGGTCGTCACTTCAGCCTAGTGTCATGGGACCAATGGCAATGTGAGACAAGAAATTCTACATTCTGATTGGTTCCTTTAGCATAACAGATGCTTTTCTGCTTACTCGATGGAGGCAGGGTGGAGCCCGGCCTTCATCTTTGTTAACGTTAATGAAATGAGACGTATCCAGGGTGCCCATAGACTGCTAATCAGCCCTAATCTGATCCATTGGATTAGAGGATGGGAATGCTGCATGCATGTAAGCCGCAGTTTCTGTGTGCTTCTCTTCTTCAAGCAGTGAGCTATCCTACCGTCACCTAGCATTCATTAATGAACTCTTTTTGCACTTGCTCTCAATGAAGATCTATTTCTTTTGGTAACTTTTCCAGTGATATCTTTCTTCTCTGTAAACTGTTGCGCTGATTAGTCAGCTCTTCCAACAAGATCTGGGATCTGGCTAGGTTCCTGCTTTTATCATCATAATCTTCCTCTTTCCTTCTGTGGGATTATCATGCGATGAGGCAGGACAGCCTGTGACTCCACTGCTCCCGACCAGACTACCTTTTTATGTTTTTTTTTTATTCTGGCTTTGATTGGGTGAGATACCAGGAGCCAAAATGCTGAACCAGGGTGCTGTGACGATATTCACTGGGGTGTGTG